GTTCCGGTGTTAGCAAACCATTTAACTGAAAAGCATTAAGCAAGAGAATTTTTTGACAATAAACATCTTCCTACACTTAGCACATTAGGGTGCTTAATCACCCCTCTGTATGATTTTTGGTGTAATATGTATGTATGGTATCAAGGAACCGGCAAGCTACTTGCCATTTGTATAGCATCAAACAGCAGACTACCTTAGTCAGCCAGTGCATCTAAATAATTATGTACAAGAAATACTTGTGGAAATTAACCCCTCCATCTTACAGAAATAACCATGGCAATATGTGTGCAGATAGCAGCTATTACTGCCCACATACTGATTGGTTTTGTTTCCCTATCTAACCCTGAGGTAAACGGATTAACTGGCACAGAATATGAAGTGGTTTCTTTACCATTTAATGCTTTTCAATGGGTTCTACCATTGCAGTTGCATTGGCTAGTTACTCCTGCTAAACTATTAAACTACTCAGGAGGGAACTGTTTCAGAATTGCTTGAGAGCAAGCCAGAAGCATAATGCCTGCATACACAAAATATATTTCAAAAGGAAAAAGTTAGAGCTCAGTGGGAATTGTTGGTGATCTGCCTCTCTTAAGATAAAGTTTATGGTTTCTCTTTATCAAATAATTTTAAGGCAAGCAACTCCTCAGGATGAGGAGAGAGGAAAAAACTAGACCTCTAACAAAAACAACATAGCTGCATGTTTTTCTGTGTAGTTTGAGGAAAAATATACAGGGGGAGGTAGCAGATTCTTGGGCCTCTTCTTCAGGGTCTGGGGTAGTTGATCATCCAGACCTATTTTAAGCTCCTTGGTTGTATTTTTTTCCTCCAGATTTTCTAGAAGAGGTTTTTATATTCAAGGTCCAGATGTCCAGCCTAAGCACACCTGTGCTTTGCTGGTGCCTGCTTGTGCTTCAGTTCTTCTTATGGAGCAAGTGGTGTTTATCTGAAATATGATTGAATCTGGCCATAAGCATGGTCAGTCTGAGTCTAAAAACTTGTATTTTCATGAAGACAACTGCTTGGTAGTTTCCAGGGTGGTTTATATTATGTTTTAACCTTAAATAATTGAGTACGTCCCTGTATCTTTGTGTGCCTGGTAGCCACCGGAGGAAGGTTGAAGGAGTGCACATGGATTCATCTATACACAGCCTCCAGCTTCTGCACGCTGCGTTTATCAACCACAACAAAATAATCCACTTCTTTTCAGCTGAACACTTGGCAATTAAGACATGATCTGTCCTACTTAAGGTATAAATAAGCCTTTAATGTTACTCGGGGATTACATGAGGACAAGAGAGGCTCTTTTGAAGCAGGGCTTTTCCCGCACAGCAGGGTTTGCAGAGCAGGGATTTGATCCATGCGCGCCTCCTGCAAGATGTTCGAAATAAGAGGAAAGTTAACAGATTCCAAGCTGTGCATATTGAGAGCAGTGGCAGCTTCTGACTACTGAGCTACTAAATCAGGCATTTATCAGTTGTAAGAAGTGTGCATATGAAGGGTCACCTGCCTATATGTTTAGATCAAGTGCTCGTTTCCATGCAGGCAATTGTCACCATTAAGTTTACTGTATTAAAAAAAACAGGAGGAGTGAAATACCTGCTTGGAAACAGTTTCAATAGTGTTTTGGGTAGTGGTGATGTAGTACTTGAGTGAAGTGGGATCAGGGACCTGATCCTTTGCAGATTTCATGCGTGACTGGGTGCAAGCTGTTAGAATTTTTA